TTTATCCGCTTTTCCTTTTACTTTCACATCATAGTGTGAATGTTTATAAAGCATTCATTCTACAGTGATCCATTTGCCTTTTGTACATTTGTCGGTGCGATTCTTGTCCTGCCGTTTTCAAGCTATTCCAACAAATCATAAATCAAAATGTTCAGCTCTTTCAGGACAATCCTGCTATGACAATTGGTATTGGTGCAACTTCAGCTTTTTGAAATATTTAGCCTTTCTGCCATTTTTTTCTCATAGGAAATGAATTGAGCTCATTTTATGTCCTTCAAATCTTTAGATGTGTTTACAACCTTTTACTGCTCCTTTCACATTTTGTTCTGCTTCAGCTTCCTTCTGCAATGCATTTTTTCAGCTAGTTTCAGCTTATTTCAGCAGTTTTTAAGGTGTTTTATGCTTCTTTCAGGTTCTTTCTGCTAACTACAACATTTTAGTGCTTCTTCTAACTTCATCCATCCATCCATTATCTTTACCCGCTTATTCCATTTTGGGTCACGGGGGTCGCCGGTGCCCATGTCCAGCAATCACTGTGCGAGGGGCGGGGTACACCCTGGACAGGTCGCAAGTCCATCACAGGGACACATAGAGACAAACGAGACAAACAAACATTCACTCTCTCACTCACACCTAGGGACAATTTAGAGTTACCAATCAGCCTAACATGCATGTTTTTGGTCTGTGGGAGGAAACCGGAGTACCCGGAGAAAAACCACGCATGCATGGAAAGAACATGCAAACTCCACCCAGAAAGGCCCCTGGACCGGGGTTTGAACCAGGGACCTGCTCGCTGAGAGGCAGCAGCTCTACCAGTTGCGCCACCGTGCTGCCCCGCTTCTTCTAACTTCTTTCTGATAATTTCAGCTTGTTATGCTATTTTCAGCTTATTTCTGCAAGTTTCAGCTTTTTTAATTTCTCCTACTATATACTTGTTTTTATGCTAATTTAAGCTTTTTCAGCTAATTCCACATTTTTTTGCACTCATTTCAACTTTTTTCAGCCTAATTCAGAAAAAAGTGCTCTTTCCACTTTTTTCTGGTAATTTCAGCTTCTTTCTGCTTTTTAGCTACTTTTCTGCTGTTTTACTGCAGTTTTTTTGTTGCTAATTTCAGCTTTTTCCAGAAAATTTCCAATTTTTTGTGCTCTTTTATGCTTCTTTCAGCAAGCATGTTCTTTCTTCTTTCTTCTGGCCATTTAAGCTGTTCTACCTTTTCAGCAACTTTTTAATTTTTTTATTTTAGCTAATTTCAGCAGTTTTCAGATAAATTCAAGTTTTTCATAGTAAATTCTGCTTCTTTCAGGTTAATTAACTTCTTTCTGCTAATTTCAGCTTGTTATGCTCCTTTAGCTTTTTTCTGGTAGTTTCAAATTATTCTGCTATTTTAGCTACTTTTTAGCTGTTTTGTGTTAAATTTAGCTTTTTCAGCTAATTCCACATTTTTTAGCTCATTTCAGCTCCTTCCACTTCCTTCTGGTAGTTTAACGTTCTTTTTGTTTTTTCAGCTACAAATTACTTTTCAGCTATTTTTTGCTAATTTTCAGCTCTTTTTTCCCCTCTCATTTCTGCTTATTTAAACCTAATTCAGCAAATGTGCTCTTTCTTCTTTTTTCTTCTGCTAACTTAGGCTTTTTCTTTTTAAAAATTGTAAATTTCAGCCTGTTTTAGCTAATTTCAGCAAGTTCTTCAGCAAGACCCCTTATGATAAATCATATAAATGGAAACAATGTTCCCTCACCCGGACGTTGGTCACCGGGGCCCCACTCTGGAGCCAGGCCTGGAGGTGGGGCATGCTGGCGAGTGCCTGGTGGCTGGGCTTTCACCCATGGAATCTGACTGGGCACAGCCCGAAGACGAGATGTCCTCCTTCCCACGGGCTCACCACCTGTGGGAGGGACCAAAGAGGGGGACTTCAACGCTCATGTGGGCAATGACAGTGAGACCTGGAGGGGTGTGGCTGGGAGGAACGGCCCCCTGATCTGAACCCGAGTGGTGTTCTGTTATTGGACTTCTGTGCTCATCATGGATTATCTATAATGAACACCATGTTCAAGCATAGCATATGTGCTCTTGGCACCAGGACACCCTAGGGCGCAGTTTGATGATAGACTGTTGTTGTCTCATCTGATCTGCGGCTGCTTGTCTTGGACACTCGAGTGAAGAGAGGGGCAGAGCTGTCCACTGAGCACTACCTGGTGGTGAGTTGGCTCCGATGGTGGGAGAGGATGTCGGTCAGACTTGGTAGGCCCAAACGTATTGTCAGGGTCTGCTGGGAACATCTGGCAGAGTCTCTCGTGAGACGGAGCTTTAACTCCAACCTCCGGGAGAACTTCAAACATGTTCCAGGGGAGGTGTGGAACATTGAGTCCGAGTGGGCCATGTTCCATGCCTCCATTGTTGAGGTGGCTTACCAGGGCTGTGGCCACAAGGTTGTCGGTGCCTGTCACAGCGGCAACCCTCAAACCCGGTGGTGGAAACATTTGGTGAGGGATGCTGTCAGGCTGAAGAAGGAGTCCTATCGGGCCTTTTTGGCCTGTGGGACCCCGGAAGCAGCTGATGGGTACCGGCAGTCCAAGCGGCATGCGGCTCGGGTGGTCGCTGAGGCAAAAACTTGGGTGTGGGAGGGGATCAGAGAGGCCAAGGAGAATGACTTCTGTATGGCTTCGAGGCTATCCTAGTGTCCACCATCCGGCATCTCGGTGGTGGTGGTGGGGGGGGGGGGGGAGTGGTACACTACCAACACTGTTTATAGTGGAGGTGGTGCGTTACTGACCTCAACTCGTGATGTTGTGGATCATTGGGCAGAATACTTCTAAGACCTCCTCAATCCCACCAGCATGTTTTCCACCGAGGAAGCAAAGTCTGGGGACTTTGGGTTGGGCTTTACAATCTCTGGTGCTGAGGTCACCGAGGTGGTTAAAAAGCTCCTCAGTGGTAGGGCCCCAGGGGTGGATGACATTCGTCCGGAGTTCCTTAAGGCTCTGGATGTTGTGGGGTTGTGTTGGCTTACACGACTTTATAATATTGCGTGGACATCAGGGCAGTTCCCCTGGATTGGCAGACTGGGATGGTGGTCCCCCTATTCAAAAAGGGGGACTGTAGAGTGTGTTCCAACTACAGGGTGATCATGTTCTTAAGCCCCCGTGGTAAGGCCTATTCAGGGGTTCTGGAGAGAAGGGTCCATCGGATAGTCGAACCTCGCATTCTGGAGGAGCAGTGTGGTTTTTGTCCTGGTCGTGGAACATCGGACCAGCTCTACACCCTCAGCAGTGTCCTGGAGGGTGCGTGGGAGTTTGCACAACCAGTCTACATGTGCTCTTTTGGACTTGGAGAAGGCGTTCGTCAATGTCCTTCGGGGAACCCTGTGCGGCGTACTTTGGGAGTATGGGATACCGGCTGTTATGTCCCTGTACGACCGGTGTCAGAGCTTGGTTCGCATTGCCGGCAGTAAGTCGGGCTCATTCCCGGTGAGAGTTGGACTCCAACGCTGTTGCCCTTCTGTTCATAACTTTTATGGACAGAATTTCTAGGCACAGCCAAGGTGTTGAGGGGATCCATTTTGGTGGCTTTAGGATTGCGTCTCTGCTTTTTGCAGATGGTGTGTTTCTATTGGCTTCATCAGGTTGTGGTCCACAGCTTTTGCTGGAGCAGTTTGCAGCCGAGTGTGACGCGGCCGGGATGAGGATCAGTTCCTCTAAATCCGAGGCCATGGTGTTGAGCCGGAAGAAGATAGAGTGCCCTCTCAGGGTCGGGGCGGAGGTCCTGCCCCAAGTAGAGGAGTTCAAGTATCTCGAGCTCTTGTTTACGAATGAGTTAAAAATGGAGCAAGCGATTGATAGGCGGATAGGTGCGGCATCGGCAGTGAAGCGGGTGCTGCACCGGTCTGTTGTAGTGAAGAGAGAGCGGAGTCAGAAGGCGAAACTCTCAATTTACCGGTTGATCTTCGTTCCTACCCTCATTTATGGTCATGAGCTTTGGGTTGTGACCGAAAGAATGAGATCACGGATGCAAGTGACTGAAATGAGTTTTCTCCGCAGGGTGTCTGGGCTCTCCTTTAGAGATAGGGTGAGAAGCTCGGTCATCCGGGAGGGACTCAGAGTAGAGCCACTGCTTCTCCACATTGAGAGGAGCCAGTTGAGGTGGCTCGAGCATCTGGTTAGGATACCTCCTGGATGCCTAGCTAGTGAGGTGTTCTGAACACATCCCACTGGGAGGAGACCTAGAGGAAGACCCAGAACACGATGGAGACTACGATTTTGGCTGGCCTGGGAATGCCTTGGGATTTTTTTTTTCATTTACCCTTTATTTATCCAGGTAGTCTCATTGAGCCACAAGAACTCATTCTCAAGAGAGACCTGTTTAGGGAGCAGATGGTGAGGATTAAGGGCCTTGCTCAGGGGCCCAGAGTGGGGCGAATGAGAGTGGAGGCAGGTGTGGGTGTTCCACCTTTTCCACCCACAATTTGATGTTGACGGTACTGGGAGTTGAACCTGTGACTTTCCGATCACAGGCCCATCTTCCAACCTCTGTGCCACCACTCCCCACAGGAACTGGCCCAAGTGGCTGGGAAGATGAAAGTCTGGGCCTCCCTACTTAAGCTGCTACCCCCTGTGACCTGATAAGTGGAATAAAATGGATGATTGGATGGATGGATGGATGGATGAATCTTCAGCAATAAGCATTCACACTGCATTTTCACAGGAAATGCAATTTCTCTAGTTTATTTTGTTCACATATGCATGCTGTAAACTTAAATACAAACAATAACCAAACTTATAAATGTAACAGCATCGTGTTACTGTCAGTGCAAGTTTAAAAGAACCAGTGATGGATGTGAGTGTATGAACTGTGTATTATGGTGATCCTTCACACAGCTGCAGACATCAACACCACCTCATCACCTTACAAGGTTCAATAAGTCTTCATATTTAACGATCATCTCAGATTAAAAAAAGGTTATTGTCTTTGTCCCAGTCTTTGTAAATGTCTGTGCCTCTGTTTATTCTCTTGACAGGTGATTTTTGTTTCTGATGTCCAATATGGCATGCAGCTCACCAGGCTGATATCCCAGCAAGCCTTGCAGGTTGCACACAAAGCGGTAAACATAGCGTTTGCCAGCTGTCTTTCGGATAATGTTCTTGTCGTAGTAATAGCGTAGGCCCCGACTGAGTTTCTCATAGTTCATCTTGGGTTTGTTCTTCCTCCTGCCCCACAGCAAAGCAACCTGAAACAAACAAAAAAAAGCACATGTGCATCAGAGAAGAGCCACAATACACCAGAAATGAGTGCATACCTGTTTATTAATGAGTCTGAAGATGAGAATTTTTTTAATTTTTTTTATTTAGCCTTTATTTATACAGGTAGTCTCATTGAGCCACGAGAACTCATTTTCAAGAGAGACCTGTTTAGGGAGCACATGGTGGGGGTTAAGGGCCTTGCTCATGGGCCCAGAGTGGGGCGAATGAGGGTGGGGGCAAGTGTGGGTGTTTCACCTACCCCACCCACAATTTTCATGTTGTCAGGGCCGGGGTGTGAACCGGCGATCTTCGGATCACAGGCCCACCTCTCTAACCTCTGCACCACCACTCCTTTGAATAGTGTCATAAAAAAGTCTGCCAATCTCTTGATCTTTTCTACAAGAATGTTTGTGGTTTTCAAAATGAGTGTTAGAATTGAACAGGTTATGCAATTAAACCTTAATGTTTTTGGTGCAAGATACTCAAATGGGTAGAAGTTACACTGTAGAGAACAGCGGTAGTTTATTTATTTTATTTTTTGCTGAGGCAGCACAATGATGGCGGTAGTAATTTTATCCAACACAATGTGCAATGGCAGAGTCAGCGGGTGGCCAGTGGTGAACTTGGCCACTATAGATTAATCTTAGGTCACCCCAATCATTTGAGGGAACTACACTTTTAAGCAAAAGGTTTGTAAGCAATATAAAAACTAGATCGTGATTGACGTACTGGGCACCCCTAACCTAGATTGTTTAATATAAAAACAAATCAGTTGATTATAGAGAAATGTCAGGTGACAGAATCTGTCTGCCCTCAGAATGTAAGATAATCTTTTTTAAATAATCTTATCAACCAATATGAGCAAACAAACATAATAAACATGTTATTTACCTCATCTGGATCTGTTAGCTTAAACTCCCACCCATCTCCTGTCCAGTTTATACATGACTGACAGCTGCGGTCTGTCAGGAGCTCCAGGAGGAACTGCCACAGCTGGATGGGACCACTTCCTGAGGAAATATGGCAAAGCATTACAACAGGTAAAGTAAATTTTTGCAAACTTTCATGTAATGCAAAAACATGTCCTGTTGCCACAGACACTAACCAGTGTAACCAGCTAGCATGGCTGCTGGTATCACAGCTTTACCCAGAACTGTTTTGTGGCTGACATATTCTTTGAAGCTCTGGTGTTTCTGCTGTAACGTGAAAATATCATCAAAGGGACTTTCTCTGATCACTGACTCAGTATTATCAAGCAGAGGAGTCCAGGACAAAGAGTCCATGAAGTCAGGCTCGCAGGTGTGAACCATCGTCACTTCTGACTGCGTCTCTGTAGGAATAAAAGAAGCACATTGTGAGACAGGCAGAAATGTTTTACATACAAACATAACAGTTACTGAAACACTTTTTTTAAGTGAAGGCTTTGGTTTATTGTGAAAAGTAAGTACAAATGAAGAGTTAATGTTGTGCCGTAATAAACTCTGGTCAGTTAGCTCTCAACCTGACGTGAAATACCTGTGTGTGTATAGACACATATATATATATATATATATATATATATATATATATATATATA